GTTCACAAAATAAAAATAGGTATAAATTATTCATGGCACTATAATTGACTAAACAGCCAGAGGTATTAATGAGTTAATCCTATATTGTAAATTATAAATTGTATTGTTAAATATTTTTATCCAATGTATAATCCTATTGTAAAAATTATTCCAGCTGCTACTACAAACATGTTAAATTGTTAAATTATTAATTAACTATTGTACAAATGAGTTAAAATGTTCTCTTGTATGAAAAAATGAAGATCCTCATTGAGACAACAACCAAACAACACAATGAAATAAAAAAGATATTCAGGGTCAACACAATGTCTTCGATGAAAGACAATTGTATATTTTAGACAAGTTATGAATTCAGCAGTGACTAATTAACACTTCAACATATTTGTTTTCAAATTGTTCAAAAAAGAGATATATAATATATATTTGTCTTTTATTTTGGTAGAACTGAGACTACTATAACACAAAGTTATAGTAGTCTCAGGGTAGAAATAGAAAAGGTGATATCCTCTAACAACTTCTTTGTCTATATACATAAACCAATCTTTTTTAATGATGTATGTTTTTTTTTGAGAGACATGTAAAAATTATACAGATGAATAAGTTTACCTTTGACAATTTTTGTTGTTGTAGGAAATGAGTGGGTGACATAAAAAAATAATCGCCTTTTACCTCTCAAAGAATGAAAAATATATCATTGCTATTATATATTTATAAATTATGATTAAAAAAAAACCAAAACACACTTTTTAATTGGAAATATGTTAGATATATTACCCGGTACTACAAATATACATAAAAAACTTTTTATTTCATACATACCTCTTATATCAAAATTTATGTAAATATCATTTTATTCAAAGGTTTTCTAAAGTTTATGAATTTTATATTTCTTCTATAAAAAATATGAGAATTTGTAGGTTAACTGTACCGGGAGCTACTGCCCATTCATCAAATCTACCGGTAATAAATAATCATAAAGGTAGTAATTCAGGAATTTTCTTTTAATCTGACTGGCTTAATGAATCACAATTAAATTTTATGCTAACTATTGAAAAAACCAGGCGGCGCCGGGGGCTCTATTCACAAAAAAATCTTGACAAGAAATTGAATTAAATGTTCATAACTTACAAGCATTTTTTCTTGTAAGATATTTTGTGAAATGAGTCCCAAAATGTCTAACCCTGGAATTTAGGGACAAAATCACTGTCTACTACACCATAGCCAGCATATAACACATCATAATTCAGGTTCTGAGCTTGCTATGTAATACAAACATCTGCTCATGGTTGAAGGTCATTCAATGACAATAGGATGATAAAGTTTTATATTGTTGGGGTTGGGTTGCTATTCCTAATTCTCTTCTTTACAATAATCAATCTATTTTATAAATTAGGAACACAGAAACTGATCAGGCTTTTCTAATTAGATAAAAGAAGATATGGATAAAGTAACAATGAGACAGAAATTCAACAGTACAAGTTATATATAAAGATAAGGAGACGTGGTATGACAACTATTCATCAGGCACCAAATAAAGTGGATGTAAGAAACTATTGGTAACTGTTCATTTTTAACACATCAAATTTTGTAACTACAACCATGCACTTGTGGTAAAGAAAATATTTTTTTTTACATGAAATGATACTTAAAATATATTTATCCTTATAACTCAAATTCCTGGATATAAATTTACTTTCACAAATTTGTTCCTTTGGGTTCTACATGATAAAAATCAACTATATCTATTTTAAATATCTTATATTAGAAGCGATTTATATACCATATAAATAATAAAGTGTTCACACAAAAAGCAAAAAAATATAGAACAGAGGGATTACATGAGAGACTTAACAAGTGGATGTATAATGGAACTAAACATACATTATAATCCTCTTATGAATATAAGTATTACTCAACCATTGTAAAACTGGACAAAAAACAGACTTCAAAGTAATACACAAAAGTGCTTTCTCATTAAGCACAGGTAAGTAATATCAGGTGTATAGCCAGCAATCTCAAACTCAATTGCTAATGATTTGCAAGTATTATTTCTCATCAGATTTATTCATTTAAAGCTTTGGTCATTCAACTTAGACAAATAAGTTTGACCAACATTAAGAAATCAAAGTACTGCAAGTTCTTGTGGATGGTCACAAGCACTTGTCTCAGAAAAAAAAATCACATCTCTATACCTGAAAGTGAGGTTAATGTACAGATATAATTTTTTTTTCTTAGACAAGTTCATGCGTGGATGATAAATAAATGACAGGGAATTCAACCTCACCGTAATAAATATGATATTGAAGTGATACAAATCAGTATACTCTGGTTTGTTGTTATATATTATATTAATATTTGTATATTACAGTTACATGTATATATAATTTTCATCCATTTGTATATCATTCTATTCTACTATATTAATAATAGTGCAGTGCAACTGAGACTACTATAACAGTAGTCTCAGAGTGCAAGTGCATGGTGGACACTCTTCTGTAATAATTTGATTATTCTAATAGATTGGATTTGAGTAGGCATTCATATTTTCGCGCCAAACTTTCAATCTCCCATGCAGACTTATCAGTCCTTGAGAGAGAGCGAGGACTGATAACTCTGCATGGGAGATTGCAAACGTTCTTGAGATATTCTTCCGCATGCGTTAAAAAAATACACACATTTTCTGTACGTGTGCATAGATATTAAAGATTTTTTACTTATATATATATTTCTAACGACAAAACATTTTCAAATTATTAATTTATGTTCTAAAAAAAATATTTTTAGGAGTATCCATTGAAAAAATGAATTTATAACAAGCGATAAGGAATGTTATTTTTCACTCAATAATGTCAGCATATTTATCATGTTTATAGATCAGTTACAATCCCAACACGAAAGTTACGTAATGGAAATCTAGGCGACAGCAATACACCGGAATGCCCTCACGGTCATCCGATGTAAAAAAGGTAAATCACAGTCCAAAGAATAAATAATAAAAAATTAATTTATATGCTCCTTGAGGATAAGCCATATTTACCTTGTGCAATAAATCTATAATCATAAGACATTGTAGTATGGCTATTCAAAATTCAGTTTATCAAAAATTTTGCACAAATACAATTAAATTCTTCTTAAAGTATCATTTACTAAAACACACACAAATTCTGCTCTTGTTGCATGTTAAAACATTTTTTTTTAAATATAACAAGATTTTCTGTAATCTCAATATTCAATCAACATTCCAGCTAAATATAAATATATATGTAACCCATTACAAAATTGAAAGAGAAGAAGTTCTCACCAAATGCGTGAGTGTTTTAGTTGGTTCGATTTACTTTTGAAGCGATGGCCTAAATATGTCTTTCTAGATGTTTCACAACGTTATTCCAAATACCACTGACGGCATTCAATGCGTTCCGAAAAAGTAATTTTACCCATTCAGCGGAATTTTAATTTTGACCATCCAGTCAGCAGAATTTTAACATATCTTTTAACATATCTATTTTTGATGCAGATATTGAATACGTTCTTGAAAGTAAATTTCAAACAATCAGCAGAATTTGATATCTATTTTTGATGCAGATACTTGCAGACTGAAATGGAAATTATAGTAAAATAGAATGCTTTTAGTAGATAAACAACAGGGAATAATGAACTATTTTAGCATGTTTGGATAGGGGTTCTGTGTATTCACATTATTTGTACAACTCTCCTGTGGAGGGATTTTGTGACCTAAATGGTTCACCAAAATTAATATTTTTATATATAGTATAGTAACTAAAAAATGTCTTGCAAATGATAGATGACTGAAGGTTAAATGTTTTATTTCCTCATTACCAATACCAATACACATTCTCCAAAACTTCCATAATTGAGTAAAACTTAAATAATCCAGGTTAATCCTGGTATAAAACCCAAAATCTACTTCATTGTGTTCTTAACAAAATAAACAAAAATCAGTAAAGTGTTAATTCATAACTCTAATCTAGATTAATAGGTATTTTCCACACTTTAAATTATACATTACTTTTGTATAGAATCAAACAGCTGTAAATACACTATATATGTATTACATACAAATTATTCCATAACCCATAACTGACCATATTTGTAGAGGCTAGACATTAATTCTTATTTCATGAGTATAACACTCAATTTCTGTTGTCTCACATGGTCAATGTAAGACATTAAATAAAGTCACCCTTTCCCACAAAAAGTCACACAAGATAATATCAAAATTAAAAAAAGAAAGTATCACAGACAATCATTTTCAAACTGTTTAAAATAAAATCAAACATCAGAACTTCTTGTTCCAAAAAAATCTAAATAAAAGATGATAAATATTTGACAAAAAAATAGATAATACAAAATTTCATAATCTCAAACATTTGCATCCAAAAATACTCCCATTCAAAAAATAGTCTCACAAAGACCTTTTTAAAACATTAATTTGAAAAAATAGTCTTACACAGGAGTATTAAACATCGAATTAAAAAATAGTCTTACAAAAGCCTTTTTGAAATACAAAATCTAAAAAGTAATCTTACAAAGAAAAAGAAACACTGTTGCAAAAAATATCTACATAACCCTGCCTAAAAATACTCTAAAAAAGCTACTACACACTTTATTCCATGAAATAGTCACACAGAAATGGACATCCCAGCCAAAAAAATGTTCGCAGAAAGATACATAACATTCAGCCCTACAATTAAAAGTCTAAATAATTTTTCACAAAATCATTCTTTTCTATTTCAGAACTAGTATTTAAATTCAAAACCACATAGCTCATTGACCAGAGAGAAAACAAATAATCCCATTAATGTTAGAAACTGCAAAACACATCAGGACATAATTTCAGCTTATAATAGGAGGGATATGATAATTTTTCAGTCCACTGTACTATTTTATCATATGAAAATAAAAGGGCAAATTGTAGCAGCGTAGTAAGTAAATAAGTATAAGAAGGAACTTTTGATGTTTTCTAATTACAATTTTCTTACCTGCTGTGATTTCAAGCTTTTACCATTCTTTTTGTTGAGAAATATCACTGCAAATCTACAAAACAGATAGCAAAAGATACCATCATTTAATTGAGATTACATCACCTATAAACACACAAGGTGTGTATAATATGTTAATGTCACTGCTCCCCAGGCTAACTACATTATTAATTGAAAATCATTGTTGTCTTATCGGCAGACAAATTGGGATGTCTTTGATTGACACATCTATTTATCATTTAATTATAACATCTACTTCTGTTTTCTTCACCATGTCAGAGGGGCGGTTCTGGCTCCCACTAAGGTTCTTATTTCTTTAATTTTAGGTTTGAAACTTGTGTATTCAATCATCCTGCCAACTTTAAACTTTACATCAGAGATACAATAGAAATAAACATTTGTATGTTTAAAAATTTCAGTTTATTGAGACTAATTTTTACATTCATTGTGAATTAGTTGCGGAAAATTGTTGAGTGTTGTTCAAATTTACATATTGTATTTTTTTCTGTTTACCAGTTTGATTTACCATGACCTTATGCAGCTCATTTTCTTTGTTGTCTGACCAAATTTATATTGACATTCATTTCATCATATACAAAAGTATACTGTATTTCAAGTTTATATGTAAACTTTGGGTATTAATAAAGTGAATCTTACAATTTGGAATGATACCAAACCCCGTCATGCCAGTTAATGTTTGTCTATTTGTCTGGTTTCTGTAATATCAGAAAATAATTGCTGCTATGAAAATGATTACGCATCATATGAATTTGTTTGCTTTGATAAATTAATTTTCTAAAATTAAAAAGATACCAAATGCAATCAAAAACTATAATTGAATATAGAGACTGAGACAACACCATGGGTAAAAGATTGGACATAAAAGCTACATGGAAAAGATTGAGACATGAACCTCGTCATAAACAGGAGGTGAAATCAGGTGCTCAGGAAAGGGGAAGCATTTCCTGCTCAACTTATGGATTGATTGATTATTGTTGTTTAACACCACTTTCATCACTATTGGCTATATCTTGGTGATCAGTTTTTATTGGTGGAGAAAGCCGTAGTGCCAAGAGTGAACCATCAACCTTCGGCAGGAAAAGTGATTATCTTAGGCAATTTAGATTGGAGTCCACCACACCTGACAGGTGCTGGGTTCAAACTCAAAACCTCAGTGTTGACAGACTAGTGACACAATAAAATTAAGTGACAAGATGAATTCAGTGATGTCATAAGCAACGAAAGGATGGCAGGATTGTGGCTAAGACAAATGTAACATATCTGTGGCCATCTGTGCATAGATGTTCCACCTATATAACTTTTGAAGAGATGACAAACCATACCTTTAAGAACCTTGGTTGGATAGCCTTCTTGTAATCAGCCATCCTCTCTCAAAATAATTCTGATAAGTCCTGGAATATTCTATCAACTGGTAGATCTATACTCAACACATAGAGGCAATGCTAGAATGTTGAAATAAAAATGGAAAGTTCACAAAGGTAAATTGAAGTAAGCTCTTTTTTAATATAGATTACTTCTGGACAGTTCTTCCTTATAAATTTCTAGGTGTAATATAAGATGTTAAGTATACATAACTGTCATCTGTGGAGCTCTTTTTTCAAGTTCAATGATACAGTTGTGATAAACATAGATCCCAAACCGAGAAGACATCTATGTGTAATAATATGTGGAGTAAAGGATACTGTAAGCTTCATTTCAGTCTTCATAAGTTGACCATGTATGCAGTTTGCCTTAAAGGTTTTACTGCATTCTGATTATCTCCGAGTACTTTAAAGTGTCAAAGAACGTATCAGCAAAATTAGAAGCACAGCTGGTTCCCATAGTTAGTAATAAATGAATTAAAATATTATAAAAATTTCTAATTTTGTTTGAAATTACATTATTAATATCAAATGAATTCTTAATATCTCAAAAGAAAATTAGGCCTTCTTTTAATTCCTTCCGATTGAACAATGTGGGCCTAGGTTTACAATAAAAGCTGTTAAATGCACATCTTGGTCTGTTTCAATCTTTTTTTAAACCACATTTTTTCGTGAGATAAAACAACAAAATATAGAAATCCAAGGCAAACATAGTCAAAAATAAGTGTATGCTCAAAACTTGCCACATTGTAGAGGTTGTTTGCCTGCATTTTGATTATAACTGGGTAAATAAACTAATGCCAGACAATCTATTTTCATGAGCAAAATCTTCTAAACAAAGATTTTTGAAAAATAAATATCAGGTTGAACATAGCTTACATATTGACGTATGTACTTTATCACTAATCAGTGTAGACCCTAAAAATTCATCAATGATATCAATATTAGAATAGCAAAGGAAACTAGCTATTTGACTATCCTCTCTCAAGTCTCATGGGCAGCAACACCTGAACCTGAATTTATTTGAGTTCAATGAAAGAGGAATTTGAAGAGTATTCATTATTAATTGTTTCCTGGATTTTATACTAGGTAAGGTGGAGCTCTATCATTACTTGTGGAAGTTTATAAAAAAAAACTTATGTTTTAAGCAGTTTTTAAGTTTCTAAACTACAAATGACTTGATAGTATATTCTTTTTAAATTTTCCAACCATTTATTTAAAAAAATGCCTCTCCTTCCCTTTAAATCAAAGAGTTGCCCCTGTACAGAAAATAACTTTTGGGTGAAAATAGTATTAAAGATGCATGATTTCTGACCAAATGGATCACTCTTGTATTCTCCGTTTTCTTTCTTTCTTTCTGATCTATCATTTTGTTTCATATAAAAATTATAAATGCTTGTTACTGTTTATCTGTGTTTATATTTTACATGGTGTCATCAACATGCTTTTTCAGAAAGTCAGACACCACTAGTAAATTATTGTTAACGTTAACTCACAACATATATAGTGATAAATTATTTCAACTATAGGTAAATTGAGGAATCTTATTCATGATCACAGTAAAAACCAATGTATTATCATGATAGCATTTGATTTAAAAGTGAACTTTGTCAGCTTTTATTAATAATCAAAAGTTAATGAAGAAATTGAATTAGTGAAGACTCCAGACCTATAAAGTTTCATTTGTTTAATTTATACGACTGGGCCATTTGATGTTTATGCCACTGTTTATACAAACACAATAATACTCATTAAATTCAATAAAACTCACAAACTATGTTGGGAAGCTTGAAATATACAGAATATCATTTTTTACCACTAAAGGGGAACAACTCTAACTTAATATTTTGTTTTTAGTTTCTAGTTTTCATAGGGGTAAATTCAGTAAAAAATCTCTCATGGACTTCAATGCAAACCTATATCTTGAATAAGTGTATACCTGGTTTAACTTTAGAAATTAGAAACTTTCATATATCTTTAATCAAAGTACAAATGTAGCCCCATCTTTTGCAACAATAAAAACAAAGGTCATTCAGCATTTTTTGTTTACAAACACTATAGATTCACACTAAATTTCAACACTGACCCTTTACTTTTCAACCCTGTAGTAAAAAAAAGAGCATTCAACTTTCATATTTTTAACCCTAGTTTTGATCAATCTATCAAAAATATTTATTGCAAACATTATCTACCAATTTGTGGAGCACAGGACTTCGTTGTTATACAGAAAGATATCCCCCAAATGGGCGGTCCTTAATGACATAAGTTTATTTACTGAATTTGAACTACTCAGCTCAATGTTGTTTTTGATCTGCATACTACTTCTCCAGCCTTTGTTCTTATGGAAGATTTTCTTTGCTAGAACTACATTATTATACACACTAAAATAATAGTACATGTAGTTACTTAAGTTCTTGACTGATTTAAGGTAAATAAAGGGTCAATGAGATTTAAACTAAGTAATAAGTATAGAATGAATTTCTTAAACCAGTTCAATTGTTAAAATATTTTAATTCATAGCTAGTGAAAGGTTGTTAGAATCATGTCCTGAAAAGAATAATGGACGAGTGAAAAAAATGTAAAATATTTTGGTAACATAATAAAGTGAAATATTCAGTTTGGGCTTAGCCTAGATAACAATCATGTAATTGAGGTTTCAATATAAGAACAGAGTTCCAATGTCCCCCACGTTGCACATATTTTATCTATCCAAAGTACAAGGGCAATACCTAAAAAAAGCACTCTTTTTTTTTGTCCTTTAAATTTTTTTATTAATATCTTGAGATAAATGAAGGCTTCAGAGCAAATGCTATGCGATTTCCATTATAATTTATATTTCCAATGGGCATAACTCGTTAAAAATATTTGATCAAAACTTATATTTTCGAAATTGTCAAAGACATTGCTTATATAAACCTATGATATGAGTTTCATAAAATTCTGGCAAGAATTGAACACATGAGAGCGATTACATTGCTATTTTCCATATAATCGATATTTTCAAAGACATAACTCTTTTAAAGATAATTAATCGGCACTGATTTTTGAACTGTTCAAGTGCATTGATGATATAAACCTATAAGATAAATTTCATAAATTCGAGACATTGTTAATACAAACCCATGATTTAAATTTCATAAAATTCTGGTAAGAATTGAACACGAGAGCGCTAATAATGCAATTCTCCATATAACTTATGTTTCCAAGGGCCACAACACTTTTAAAAACAATTGTTCGGCACTGATTTTTGAACTCGTTCAAGACATTGCAGATATAAATCTATGATATAAGTTTCAGAAAAATTTGGCAAGAATTGAACACAAGAGCCCTAACAATGCAATTTTCCATAAAATTAATGTTTCCAAGGGCCATAACTCTTTTAAAAATAAATGATCCGCACTGATTTTCGAACTCGTCCAAGATATAGCTAATATAAACCGATGATATAAGTTTCATAAAAATCCGGTATTTCCATGTCCCCCATAACACATTGTGCGGGGGACAATAAACCATTGAGTAACATGGTATTCAGAATTAAAGAGTATGGTTCTACACAGTGGCAAGATATTCATTTTTAAATGCAGAATTGATAGGCAAGGGATACAAGTAAAAATTGCTTGAAGAAAAGCCATAGGCACCTATATTTTTGGTCTAAATATACTGTCCTAACATTTTTTATTTAATTTTAGCAAGGTTTCGTTCTAAAAATATTCTAGTCTTATATCTCAAAAAAATGCTACTATTGTCGCCTATAGGAAAACTAATTGTGTTTTGCAAACTCTACCTTTAATTTTCTCCCTTTAATATCAGTGCATATAAAAAATAAGTTTTTGTTAGAAAACAAAACAATACTTTGTTATTTAGAACCAATTACTTATAAATAAATTTCCTAAGGGTTCCGCGGAACCCAGTCTCTCGCCTACTTTTGCTGTTGTCTATGTCTTCAGTGTGATAGGGGAATGCACATTATAGATTTACAGTTAATGAAATAAAACATTTGAAATGTATGAAAAAAGTTATGCTTGTAAAAAATGAATACAGTATGCAATCAAATCTATAGATTTATAAAAGAGTTGAAACATAAATTTATTGAATGAACAAATGATAAAGAAGATAATTTATACATTTTCCTCTAGATACTATCTTTTGATTGTAAGAAGCTTCTGTTCAAGTTTGGTAAAAATCGAGGATGGTTTATGAATCCAATAAATGTTTTAAAAACTTTAACTGCAGTCTGTATGTAATGTTAACTAGAAGAAAAACTAAGTCCATTTATAAGTAATATACGGAAAAACAGGAAATAAATTTTTACAAAATTTCCTTCTAGATACTAGCTTTTGATCATAAACAAGCTTCTGTCCAAGTTTGGTACATGTCCAGGATAGTTTGAGAAAGTAATTAAAATTTTTAAAACTTTTACCACAGAGTGAATGCAATGTTAACTGGCAGAAAAACTAAGTCCATTTATAAGTAAAATACAGATAAACAGGATTTTTTTTTTACAAAATTTACTTCTGGATACTATCTTGTGATCATAAACAAGCTTCTGTCCAAGTTTGGTAGAAATCTAGGATAGTTTAAGAAAGTTATTAAAATTTCAAAAACTTTAACCAGAGTGAATATTTGTGGACGCCGCCTCCGGCATGTACAATCACAATGTCTTGCTTTTCAGGCTCGACAAAAATGGCATTATGATAGTTTTCCTAACGAAGTCAAATATTGTTTTGAACCAGTGTTCCCAATTAATCGGTTTTTGGTGCTTTAGCTTAGTGCATCAATATGTTGTTTTAGTGTGTTACTTTGAACTCTTTAAAATGCATGAAAGGGTTTGTTTATATAGTACATTTATCTATTGCCATATTATATTGTTGCTTTAAAATATGCTTCATCTTTAATGTATGTGTTGTCTTGTGCATGTTTATGTGTAGTATTTTTGTCGGTTTTAAAGCTAAAACAAGCTTATATTTGTAATGTTATATACATATGCACCAACTCTAAATAAAGCTTTGAATTTGAATGAATTGAAAGTAGAAGACTTTCAAGCACTAGACCTTAAACTTTGGGAGTTTTTAAGGTGAATATCTTTTAATAGAAAACTAGTCAACACAAGAGATACATATCATCTGTGCAACAGGTAAACTGCAAAACTTTCAAATCATTACAGTGGAATGGAGTTAACATAGGATCTTTTAAAGTGACCCAATCACAAACTCTCTCATTGGCAATCATACCATATCTAGTCTCATAGTAAGTCTCACCTCTGCAGCTTCAATAAGAGACAAGACAACAAATTCAAATAATGATTAATTAAAACCATTTTCAACAAACAGGGTTACCTCAAGTTTGTTTTTTAATTTGGTGTTGATGGCTGATCTTTATGTTTTATTCACCATTATTTTCAACCTACAGTGATAACAAGCTTTCTTTGATCAATACTGCAACCTTCAGAAGTTCTTTTTCATATTTTTTTAGAATTATTCTGTCGAAACAGATGTTGTCTTTTGAATATTTTGAATAAAATGCAGTCAGAATTAGCAAACCAAAACTCGCAATTCATAGTATTAGAACACAGGAAGTAGATTTCCCACAGAACTAAAAAGTGTTCACATTACAAATAATCATTGTCAAACTGATAACCAAATATGAAGTCATTCTGTTTGGTAGTACTTGAGAAATGTGAAACAAAAAATTAAGTGTATTCAACATACTGAAATATTATCAAAATCTGAAAACTATTAGCCGGTGTACGACAGATCTGAATAAATGTGGATAGTTGTCCACATGTGGACACAGATGATGCCCCCGCTTGCATAGCATATAGTTATAAAGGGACATAACTGAAGAACGGTAAAAGTGATGCTACCCAAATTTGAACTTGATCTGAGTTTTGTGGTAACAAGCATTGTGTGCAAGTCTCATAACATTTGGTTGAGGCTAACTTAAGCAGAGAACAGAAACTAAAAATTCAGCAATTTTTCTATTTGTAAACACGCATAACTCTAAAACGGTTGTGTATAAGTTTTATAACATTTGGTTGAGACAAACTAAAGTTAGAGAACATAAACGAATAAACTGCTTCGCTGAGCGCAGCTAGATACGCCCGCAGAGGTCCAACCCTGAACAGTTGGGGCAAAAATGGACACAATATTCAAGCTTGATTCAGGTCTGAATTTGGATTGTAATTAAATATTTGACATATTATAGGTTTCTGAATAAATGTAGTCAAAGAACTTGAAATTGGTTATATGAATTGAATTTATATTCAATTAAAGATTTCTTGCTGTTGTGCAATACTTAGTATATCTGTTGTCAGACTATAAACAAATAAAGTTCAATTAATTCTCAATGTCATATTAGAAATTTATGAAAATAAAAAGGGAGCTTACATCAATAGATATGAACAATTCACCAAAGTTTCCTGAGAATTGGTGACAGCATTTTTAAGTTATTGTCCGAAAACTGGAAAATCACCCCTTTTTTTAATGAATAAAACCCCATAACTCAGAAATGTAAAATGTTAAATTTATAAAATTCTAAAAGGAGCTACCATCAATACATACAAACAATTCACCAAAGTTTCATAAGAATTGCTGAAAGCATTTTTGAGTTTTTGTCCGAAAACTGGAAAATCCCCCCTTTTTTTATGAATAAAACCCTGCAACTCGGAAACGTAAAATCTAAAATTTATAAAAATCGAAAGGGAGCTCATGTCAATAGATGTAAACAATCCACCACAATTTCTTGCAAGTTGGTGAAAGCATTCTTGACTTATTGTCCGAAAACTGGAAAATCCCCCTTTTTTTAATGAATAAAACCCCACAACTCAGAAACGTAAAATCTAAATTTTATAAAAAACGAAAGGGAGCTCACGTCAATAGATATAAACAATTCACCAAAGTTTTATGCAAATTGGTGAAAGCATTTTTGAGTTAATGTCCGACGGACAGACGGACAACGGTATACCATAATACGTCCCGTAAACGGGCGTATAAAAATTCAGCAATTTTTATGTTTATAAAGGGACATAACTCAACAATGGTAAAAGTGTTCCCACCAAATTTCATACTTAATCTGTATTATGTAGTAATAAGCATTGTGTATAAGTTTCATAACATTTGTTTGAGGCAAACTAAAGTTAGAAAACTGAAACAAAAAAATTGTACTTGATCTTAGTTTTGTGGTAATGAATATTGTGTATAGGTTTCATAATGTTTGGTTGGGGTAAACTTAAGTTACAGAATGGAAACTAAAAATTTTGCAATCTTCCGATTTATAAAGGGGCTTCGATTTATAAAGGGGCTTAACTCAATAATGGTTAAAGTGACACTACCCAAATTCAACTTGATGTGTGTTTTATCAGTGGAAGTCAAAATTAAACATTGCATTGTATAAAGCATTGATTTTAGTTGATTCAACTACACAATGTATAATCATGGAAAAAAATAACTTGATATTTAGAAGAAAATAAAAATTTTGCAATTTTTCCATTTCTAAAGGGGCATAACTCTAGAACGGTTAAAGTGACGCCACCAAAATTCAAACTTGATCTGTGTTTTGTGGAAATAAGCATTGTGTATAAGTTTCATAACATTTGGTTGAGGCAAACTTAAGTAAGAGAACAGAAATTAAAAATTTTGCAATTTTTCCATTTATAAAGGGGCATAACTCAAGAACGGTTAAAGTGACGCCATCAAAATTCAAAGTTGATCTGTGTTTTGTGTACAAGTTTCATAACATTTAGTTGAAGGCAAACTTAAGTTAGAGAACGGAAACTAAATATTTTGCAATTTTTCCATTTCTAAAGGGGCATAACTCTAGAACGGTTAAAGTAAACCACCAAAATTCAACCTTGATCTGTTTTTTGTGGAAATAAGCATTGTGTATAAGTTTCATAACATTTGGTTGAGGCAAACTTAAGTTAGAGAACAGAAATTAAAAATTTTGCAATTTTTCCATTTATAAAGGGGCATAACTCAAGAACGGTTAAAGTGACGCCACCAAAATTCAAAGTTGATCTGTGTTTTGTGGTAATAAGTATTGTGTACAAGTTTCATAACATTTAGTTGAGGCAAACTTAAGTTAGAGAACGGAAACTAAATATTTTGCAATTTTTCCATTTATAAAGGAGCACAACTCTAGAACGGTTAAAGTGACGCCACCAAAATTCAAACTTCATCTGTGTTTTGTGGTAATAAGCATTGTGTATAAGTTTCATAACATTTGGTTGAGGCAAACTCAAGTTAGAGAACGGAAACCAATTTTGGGACGTACGTATGTACAAGGGTAAAACTAAATACCCCCTCCACTATGGGGGGGGGGGGGGCATAAAAATCAACTCAACTGTCAAGCTGCTGACCAAATATTCAGTTGTTCTGCTCCCTTGTTCCAGTGTAAAGTAGGATGAAAATATGGTTCATAAATAAAGTATGATGAAAATGTGTGTTGAACAAACAGATAAGGTGATATTACAGATTAACATTTCTAAACCCTTTTTGTCGATGTTCACTGTAACAAGATACAAAGTGTATTTTGTCATACAATTTCCACCTGCATGGACAACAGCGAATAAAATGCTCCGCTGGGGCGCAGCTTGATACGACCGCAGAGGTAGAACCCTGAACAGTTGGGGCAAGTATGGACACAACATTCAAGCTTGATACAGCACTGAATTTGGATTGTAATTAAATATTTGACACAGCATAGGTTTCTGACACGGAATGAAAGTGGTCTAAGAACTTAAAACTTTTTAATTTACCTATTCAAACCATATCATTATTATTTGCTTTTATATATAAATCAGAAATAACCAATTTAAAATGGAAAATTTTAAAGAAAAAAAAGGAAAAAAAAATCCCCCCCCCCAATTTTTTGAACCCCCTCATGATTCATCACCCCCAAACTCAATCCCAGCCTTCCCTTTGTGGTATGGTACCTTGCAGTACAATTTCATAAAGATCCATACACTTACACACAAGTTATTGTCCTGAAACTAGAAAAAAGCTTGTTTGTTTGCCCTTTTATGGCCCCTAATTACTAAAATTTTGAGGGAATTACCCCACAAAATCAATCCCAGCCTTCCCTTTGTGGTATGGTACCTTGCAGTACAATTTCAGAGAGATCCATACACTTGAACACAAGTTATTGTCTGGAAACTAGAAAAATGCTTATTTTTGGCCCCCGATTCCTAAACTTTTTTGGGCAATTACCCCCAAACACAATTCCAGCTTTCCCTTTGTGATATGGAACCTTGTTGTACAATTTCATAAAGATCCATACACTTACACACAAGTTATTGTCATGAAACTAGAAAAATGCTTGCTTTTTTGCCCCTTTTTCCTAAAATTTTGAGGCAATTACCCCCAAAATCAATCCCAGCCTTCCCTTTGTGTTATGGAACCTTGTGATACAATGTCAGGGAGATCCATACACTTACACACAAGTTATTGTCATGAAACAAGAAAAATGCTTGTTTTTTGCCCCTTTTTGGCCCCTAATTCCTAAAATTTGGAGGCAATTACCCCCAAAATCAATCCCAGCATTCCCTTTGTGATATGGAACCTTGTGGTACAATGTCGGAGAGATCCATACAATTACACACAAGTTATGTCTGGAAGTTACAAAAATGCTTATTTTTGGCCCATAATTCCTTAACTGTTGGCACCATAACCCCCAAAATCAATCCCCACCTTCCTTTTGTGGTATTGAACCTTATGGTAAAATTTCATTGAGATCCATTCACTTAAAATAAAGTTAGAGTGCGAAAACTTATGTGTCTTCGGACGACGACGACGCCAACGTCATACCAGTATACAACCACAAAATTTTTTTTGCGGTCGTATAAAAACCGATTTAGTGACAACTCGACTTGGAAAGTCTGTCCAAAAGACTCTGGGAGGATAACTTTCATTTAAATCTTCTAAATTTCTATGAAAGGGAATTATTTTATATGTGGTCTGCAGCTTGATATAAATGTTAAATTGTAGTGTGTGAACAATTTTTACATCTGCAGTGCAACCACTTCATCTGTTCTTTATAGATCTTTTGTATTGCAAGAAAATGCGTGTATGGTTTAAATGAAGATTTAATGTGACAGGGTATATGCTAAATCTATTAACAATGTTGATGCTGTTTGCTTATTGGAAAGATTAATTGCTTAACATTGATCAGCAAATGTTTCATGCATATAGAAGACAAAACTTTCTTCCTCTCAAAACTTCACATTTTATTTGAAAGTTTATTTCTTTGATCTGAAGTATTCATGAAGAACATCCAGAGCCTGTGATTCTTTTCCATAATCCTGAAAACAGAAATAATACAAATTAAGTCAATTCTCAGGTTTAATCAGTCATAAAGACAAATAGAGTAATGACTTATATTGTCCTTTTTTAAACACGTCTATAAAGCAAGTAGAATTGTTCCATATATTGTAAATCAAATGAAGATGTGTTGAGAAGTTTAGATGTGAGAATTTTTTGATACATTGTTGTTGCTTAAAAACTTGACAAGAATCAGCCCTATATCCCATTGCAACAAATCTTTAAAAACTACTAGTACTTCTGTGACTCGCCTTCTACCCGAAGTCACAATTAGCACCAATCAACTCACTCCTGTGACTAGTCTTCTACCCGTAGTCACAGTTAGCACCAATCAACTCACTAGCTAGATCTCAAGATTTTTTTTACAGAATTGAGCTAAGGTGAGCTAACAGCAATCTTTTTTTTATCAAACAATGCCTAAAATTTTGGGTTTTTTTTTTTTCTCCCTTTTAACACAAAAGAAGTTGTAAATTAAGGACAATCACTAAAATTATTCTTTAAGCATTTATTTCTTCTTTTTACTAATGGGAACTTTCAAAGTGCATATGAGCACTAAAGGGTAAAGATTGCATTCATTTAGCATTGTTAACTAAAAATTCAATATTGCATTGTATTAAGCCTTGGATATACTATGAAATTTTCAAATACAATTGACCACAGACCACAATTAAATTCCCCTATTAAGTTCTTTATAACGTTTTGTTTCATTAAAAAAATTGCACCATGCATTTTTGTCAAATCTTTCGTGTGTGTAATGTATAGTACTAGTCCAAAAATATATCCAAAATTCAGAAAGATTGAACTAATCACTCTTACAAATTTAGCCAATACACATTCATACCCCTATGGACAAGTCAAGAGATGTTCCGAAAACTTTTAATATCACCTTTTTGCACCTGGCCTAATCACTCTTTCCATATCAAAATCAGTTAAAATACAACATCCAAAAGTTTATTTCACCTCTCTTCTTTTAATTCCACCCCAAAAAAACTAAGAAATGAGTGAGGAAGGGAAAGAAAAAAAAATTAAGAAAAAATACACTCTAATTAAAAGGAACTATATTCGTGGACAACGAAAAGCGGGATCATTAATTGTGGTCTTGGGCCAATTACAGACCAAGGAAGATAACTCCAATCTAACAATGACATCGATATCTTGAGAATTCATGCAAAATGCACAAAACTGCAGAGTTACAATTTTCTGCAACACATAAGTGACTGGAAAGCTAAAGCATTTTCAGAGCTGATTTATTTTGCAATACATTTTATGGTTATAACCTCAGAGTAGAAAATATTTCCGTTGCATCCACATCAAACTTCAGAAGAGGGAGCATGGGATTCTTCATCATAGGCTTTATTTTTTCAGGCTCAGTTTCATAAAAGGTGGGATACAATTTTGCATAAATTTGATAGGAAATAACATATAAATCTATAATAGGTTTTATCCTCCATCAACAATGTCAGTCTCAGATACAGTAAAACTCTTGTATAGATGTTTACTGCACAAAGATTTTAAGGGGAGATAACTTACTTTAACAACTACACAGCTACAGCCAACAACTTTCCTGGCCTTTCCTTCTCTATCAATTTTGCATAGTCCAGCCCATTCTCCTAGTTTCTTGCTGTCATCTATCTGTAAAATTAACAAAAGAGCATATTTCATAAGTACTGTACTTTCAAGAAATGCATGTCTTTTCACAATACAAATTAAATGCTTCACAGCATGAAAGTTCTTTCAAACAAGGGAATGCATGTAGCAAAAATCTGTCTCCCAATATTTCATTATCAGTTACCCAAAATAAAAGACAGCTTTACTCACTATTTCATAGACTCAATCAATACAAACAATAAACAGGCTGACGGTCATTCTATGCATTTTCAATTATAACCAATTAAATTATCCATTCTCTAGACAAAATCAATTAGTACTTGTTTCAAGTTTTAAATTTCTTAATTGGAAAGTTCACTTTTCCCACCTTTCTGGCACCTAAACAGACTAACCCATGTTTTTCCTGTATATATAACGTGATTAATCCCTTACAACAGAAAAGTATTAGGAAAATTTCCCATACCCATCACATAAATACACTGGAATGAGAGAAACAGGATGCTTAATTTTTAAGAAGTTCATTAAAAAAATTCAGGATGTGTCTCCTGTGTAAGAATATTTCCTTGCAGAAGATTTCATACACTATGCATGACTTGGGTAAAGAAATATAGTAATCCCTGGAATTCTACTGTCTGGCATTAAAACCCTTGCTAAGGTAGGGGTGCATGTTTGGCTGTGCTGTATAAATATGCAGCCATGTCCAATTTGAATGGGGACATTTAATCTCTTGCCTCATGTAGGACGAGACCCATACTTGCTGCACATCAAAGAACAATTGCAATACGTCTCTGATGGTTCTGAAGGTAGCCTGTTGCATAGCAAAGATTCTGTCCTATCCAACATGCTGTAATTTTATAGAGGCAGTTTAAATCTCTTCATTACATCCAACTCAACTTTCAGAATCTTCCTATTGCATTAATTAATTTGTTCCCATCGTGAATAAGCCTGAATTATTTCAATTGGACATTCAGCAATCTATCAATCATACACTACATTTGTATGTATATTATTTATAAAACCTCAGAGTAGAAAATATTTCCATTTTATCCACATCAAACTTCAGAAGAGGGAGCATGGAATTCTTCATCATAGGTTTTAGTGACTGTTTTTGTAAATTGTTGAGGCTCAATGAAAGTTATTTACTGGTCATCTCTAGACTTTTGCCATCCTGCAGTAAAACCCTTGCTAAATATGGGCATATGCTTGGTTGGGAAGCATATATAAAATACAATCACAGATGGGTGTGAATTTAGATGTTTAATCTGAGGCTTCTTGTCTTGCAAATTACAGAATACTTGCAACAACTCTTCTTTGAGAGGTCCCTGCTGCATGACAAAATTTCTGCCCCATTCTAACTTGCCCTCGTTTTCCAGTGGCAGTTAAAATTCCTGCCCGTCACCATACCTCGCAGAACCTTCAGTATGTAGATTTGTTAATTTGTTCTCTTCCACAATATACATGAAATATTTGCCACTGGGCATTAATCAAGCAACAATCAATCAATAATTCACAGTATATTTATAATATTACTTATAAAACCTCAGAGTAGAAATAATTTCCATATTATCCACATCAAACTTCAGAAGAGGGAGCATGGAATTCTTCATCATAGGTTTAAGTGACCGTTAACTTTCAATTGTTGAGGTTCAATGAAACAGTAATTTACTTCAAATTAAGAATGTGATTAAACACTATTGGAAATCAAAAAAGGTTTGAATATGATACAATGCATATAATTGACTGCCATCCATAGCTCTTGTCTACTGGCACCAATAAAGTCATGACTTCCCATTTACATTTAAATTCAAAAGATATATTTCTTCTTCCGTCCCCACCCCCTCCAAAAGGGGTTAACTGGGGTATAGACATATGGAAATTGAGACACTTCTCCCATCTTTAAGAAAAACCCTTGCAACATATGGGCATTTGTTTATCTGTGAAGGATGTATATTTCAGTCACAGCTGGTTGGAATGGGGATGTTAATTATGCTACATCTAAGAACTCTTGCAATAATTGAGGGGTTCCTGATGGTGTTTTGCAAGAAAAAATGTCTGCCCCTATCCCAACATGCCCTCATTTTCCTGAGGCATTCCAAATTTTCACCTTCATGGCCAACCTACCCATCAGACTATTTGTTCTCATTATGAATATGCATGAAATATATGCCACTGGACATTAAGCAAGCATCAAGCAATCAACCAAACATTGTGTATATTATTTATAAAACCTCAGAGTAGAAAATATTTCCATTTTATCCACATCAAACTTCAGAAGAGGGAGCATGGAATTCTTCATCATAGGTTTTAGTGACTGTTCTGGTTAATTATTCTTTAAAGATCTTCTCCACTGGCACCATTAAAGTTAATTTTATTTACAAGATATATTGACTGGGGTATAGGAATGTGTTAACCTCTGAAGTAAAAACGATGCTTAATATGGGCATCTGTTTGGTTGTGAAACATGTACAATAATGTCACATCAGGTTGAAATAGGGGCATAAAAACTCGTGCACTAGGGTGCACTTTGAGGAACTATTCTTTGAGGTCTTGATTAATCTAAAGATCCTGTGTCTATGCTTTGCTTCCAAGGATCTGACAATACTTCATTTTACTTTCTGTTCTTGTAATCATTATATCAGCCAATGAAATTGCAGCCTTCAAATTTTTTAAGGTGTGTGTGTCAATTTGACAAAATCTGAGAATCTGGATAAAACTCTATAATAGAAAGTAGAACTAAGAGATCAGATCCTTACAAGCCAAGCTAGGACACAGGATCTGTATTTCAAGCAAATTGGGCAAAACTTTTAATTGTATCCAACTAGTACCCTCATTTTTAGTGGGAATTAAGATGTCCAGCCCTCCGTCACAACAAACCTACCTTGCAGGATCTACCTTTTGTATTAAATGTTAATTTGTTCATGTCCTAAAGGTGCATGAAATATTTGCCACTGGACATAAGGCAAACAACTATCAATCAATCAATATATATCCATTGTTAGTCTATTTATATAAATAATTGAACTTAGTGTATACCTTCAATAGATTAATGCCATGTTCTGTACAGAGTGCCTCAACTAACTTCACATATGCTGGTTCATCACAGTTGTTGGCCAAGATGCAAAGATGAGCTTGACGTCTGAAAGATGAATAGCATTTTGATTCTGTAGATTAGCATCAAATGATGTTCAGGATTTGTTTAAAGAAATACAGTTGATAAAATTAAGAGAACGGTCTAATGCATTCCTCTGTATATAGTGTTAAATGTCACAATATGTATTCTAATTACAATCTCTTTTATTTAAAGGGAAAACTTATATTCTTTTGTATTGCTTTTATTTAGGGAGTCTAATGCCAGATTTAATCTTCCCATAATCCTTTTTCTACTCTGAAGTAATATGTCACTTTCATTTGCCGCCATAAAATATTGAGACTTGCTAATAATAAATTTTAAACAGCTTTTTGCTTACTTTTACAGTCTTTAAACACTGATAACAGCCTCTTGCTGTCGGAGACATTGTGAATCAGTGATGCCTCAAGAATAATGAATAAAGCTGTATAATTATATATATCTAAAACTTACTTGTCAAGTGCCTTGGCACACTCATGAAGGCCTCTTGCTAAGCCATCGTGGATTAAAGATGTTTTGAGAACTTCCTGTAGGGCTGTATATATATCCATACTTCCTCCTGCTGCCATGGGAACATCATCTCTGAAAGCAGAATTTTAACTCCATGCTACCTAAAGTTTTCATAAAGTTACTTTTAATATGAAATAAGATGTAATCAGAATTTTAATGAGAAAGCAATCTAACATTTTAAATTTTCACAAATAGTTCCATCATGCTTTGAGAGCAAGGAGGGGTGAAGATTGCTTTCAATTTGCATTGTGAAAGTAAAATCTAGCATTTTATCGTATAACATACAGATATTTTGGAAATGTTGTGAATTTATTTCTTTGTCATAAAATTGGTAGACTAGTTAGTTTGATAAATCATATGATACTTTCTTTAAAAATTGTGGATATAAACAGGTTCTTTTGTAAATAATTGAAAATCTGAGCATACATTATCAATAAATTGATAGATACAATGTATAGTCATGGATAGAATCTCAAGAATGTACACCTCATTTTGTGAACTCACAAAACACATATAGAGAAGAGATTGAAAAACAGCAACATGCCAGTGGATATAGATCCTGTTGGACAAGTTAGGGCATAAAAATAACATTTTCAATAACAATTGATCTCTAATGGGAGCTGTATTAAATTTTCAATCAGCACTAGGTAATAGCCTTAGATTTTAATGTTTTTTTTATTAAACAGAACATTGTACCTGAAATCTACTTCCACTGTCTCAACAATTGTTATAGACCTTCGAAGGAACTTATTTATCAAGTTAGGTTTACCTGATTCAATAGTATCAAATAGGTTTTTAAATTCTAATAAAATGCTCCGCTGGGGGCGCAGCTTGATACGACCGCAGAGGTAGAACCCTGAACAGTTGGAGCAAGTATGGACACAACATTCAAGCTTGATACAGCACTGAATTTGGATTGTAATTAAATATTTGACACAGCATAGGTTTCTGACACAGAATGTAAGTGGTCTAAGAACTTAAAACTTTTTAATTTACCCATTCAAACCATATCATTATTATTTGCTTTTTTATATAAATCAGAAATAACCAATTTAAAATGGAAAATTCTAAAGAAAAAAAAGGAACCTCCCCCCCCCCCCCCCACCCCCCAAATTTTTTGAACCCCCTTATGATTCATCACCCCCAAACTCAATCCCAGCCTTCCCTTTGTAGTATGGTACCTTGCAGTACAATTTCAGAGAGATCCATACACTTGCACACAAGTTATTGTCTGGAAACTAGAAAAATGCTTGTTTTTTGGCCCCAAATTCCTCAACGTTTAGGCAATTACCCCATAACTCAAACCCAGCTTTCCCTTGGTGATATGGAACCTTGCAGTTCAATTTCATAAAGATCCATACACTTACACACAAGTTATTATCCTGAAACTAGAAAAATTCTTGTTTTTTTGCCCTTTTATGGCCCCTAATTCCTAAAACTTTGAGGAAATTACCCCCAAAATCAATCCAAGCATTCCCTTTGTGATATGGAACCTTGCAGTACAATTTCAGAGAGATCCGTACACTTGAACACAAGTAAAATATTGTCTGGAAACTTGAAAAATGCTTGTTTTTTTGCCCCTTTTTGGCCCCAAATTCCTAAACGTTTAGGGCAATTACCCCCAAACTCAAACTCAGCTTTCCCTTTGTGATATGGAACCTTGTTGTACAATTTCAGAAAGATCAATACTCTTACACACAAGTTATTGTCATGAAACTAGAAAAATGCTTGTTTTTTGCCCCTTTTTGGCCCCTAATTCCTAAAATTTGGAAGCAATTACCCCCAAAATCAATCCCAGCATTCCCTTTGTGATATGGAACCTTGTAATACAATGTCAGAGAGATCTATACAATTGCCTCCAAAATCAATCCCAGCATTCCCTTTGTGATATGGAACCTTGTGGTACAATGTCAGAGAGATCCATACACTTACACACAAGTTATGTCTGGAAGTTACAAAAATGCTTATTTTTGGCCCATAATTCCTTAACTGTTGGTACCATAACCCCCAAAATCAATCCCCACCTTCCTTTTGTGGTATTGAACCTTATGGTAAAATTTCATTGAGATCCATTCACTTAAACTAAAGTTAGAGTGCGAAAACTAATGTGTCTTCGGACGACGACGCCGTCATACCAATATACGACCACAAAAATTTTTTTGTGGTCGTATAAAAAGCAAGAAACTAAAATAAGACCAGGCACCAAAAAACAATAATGTTATTTGTTAATAGAAAGATGATAAGTGAGGGCAATACGTCACATGGGGATTACAAAAAACATTTTCTATTTTGTATACAAAGTATTACATACCCTTCCGTATCCGATGCCATGTTTGGTTTGGAGACGGACGTCCTTCTGAAATTACATTAAAACAAACACATCATAACTTACAAATCTTTACACAAAATGCCAGCAATCACCTGAAGTAATTTTACAAATATATACCAAGGCTTTTCTCAATTTGTTTAAGGAATAAAATTGTACTTTCTTGCCTTTTATTCAGTGTCTGAGTGCCTGTCATATAAATTGTCAAAGAAATAAAACAAGAAATCTGCATTGTATCATTTACCTTTAAATCATGATAACTGCTGATACAGAATTTTGAAAAAGGAGGGGGGGACTGGGCCCCAAAATAGGCAACATTTGGAAAGTTATATGTGAAGATTCTATGTATTGACCATTAATGTAGCTCCGTAAAATGATGGCACTCTGCCCCCCCCCCCCCCCCCCCCTCCCCATTTTTCAGACGAAACGTATCCATTTCTTACAACTTATGTCATTGTCGAAACAGATATGTCCAAACTTAACAAACTAGAGGCTCCAAGGAGCTTGTGTCGCTCACCTGATATTTTTATTTACAGTTGATGCATGAAATAATGCAACCCTTATACATTTGCTTTAGTGTGTAAGTTATAAGTCAAAAACTGCATTCCCCCCCCTCCCAAGTTCTATTTTTAGCCATGTCTGACATGTTGGTTGGCAGGCAGTGTCATTGGACACATTTTTTAAACTAGATACCCAAGTGATGATTGTAGCCAAGTTTGGTTAAATTTGTCTCAGTTGTTTCAGGAGAGAAGATTTTTGTAAAAGATTACAAAAAATTTCGAATAATTGTTAAATTTGACTTTAAAGGGCAATAACTCCTTATGGGGTCAATTGACCATATTGGTCATGTTGACTTATTTGTAGATCTTACTTTGCTGAACATTATTGCTGTTTACAGTTTATCTTTATCTATAATAATATTCAAGATAACAAAAAACAGCAAAATTTCCTTAAAATTACTAATTCAGGGGCAGCAACCCAACAACGGCTGGTCTGATTCGTCTGAAAATTTCAGGACCGATAGATCTTAACTTGAAGAACTTTTTACCCATTGTCAAATTTGCTCTTAATGCTTTAGTTTCAGAGATATAAGCCAAAAACTGCATCTTACCCCTATGTACTATTTTAGCCATGTCGGCCATCTTGATTGGTGGGCAGGGTTTTCGGACACATTTTCTAAACTAAATACCCTAGTGATGATTGTGGCCAAGTAGTTTCAGAAGAGAAGATTTTTGTAAAAGATAACAAAAATTTAAGAAAAATTGTTAAAAATGGACTATACAGGGCAATAACTCCTTAAGGGGTCAATTAACCATTTTGGTCATGGATACTTATTTGTAGATCTTACTTTGCTGAACATTATTGCTGTTTACAGTTTATCTCTATCTAAAATAATATTCAAGATAACCAAAAACTGCAAAATTTCCTTAAAATGACTAATTCAGGGGCAGCAACCCAACAACGGGTTGTCTGATTCATCTGAAAATTTCAGGGCAGATAGATCTTAACCTGATGAACAGTTTTACCCCATGTCAGATTTGGTTTAAATGCTTTAGTTTCAGAGATATAAGCCAATAAATTGCTACACTGAGCGCAGCTGGATACGACCTCAGATGTCCAACCCTGAAAAGTTGGGGCCAAAATGGACACCATATTCACGCTTGATACAGGTCTGAATTTGGATTGTAATTAAATTTTTGACACATAATAGGTTTCTGACACAGAATAACTGTAGTCTAAGAACTTCAAATTGGTTATATGATTTTAATTTATATTCAATTTTTTGCTTTTGTGCAATACACTATGGGAATTGACCCCCCCCCCCCCCCCCAAAAAAAAATTTTACCCCGTTTTTTGGCGTTTGTGCAATACACTATGCTGTTGAATATTAACCCCCAAAAAAAATATTTGAAGAAATTTTTTTTTATTTCTGAAATCTGAAATCGAGAAAAATTGTCCCCCTCCAATTTTTTTCACCTCCCCCGTTTCTCTTATTCCAAAAAATAATTCTTTCCCTCAAGTTATGGTCAGTATCTCAGACAATCATCATTTCTTAATACATAATTTACAAGCAATGTAAGGGAGGTAATCAAACACTGTTATTTAAATTGATTTGGATTTCGATTTGGATTACCTCCCTTACATTGCTTTTAAATTGTCTCAATTGTCATTTAACCAGAAAAACCCTTGTTTTCCCCCTTTTTGTGCCCCTAATTCCTAAATGGTTTGAGCCATAACCCCCCAAAGTCAATCCTAACCATCCCTTTGTAGTATGGAAACTTGTGGTATAATTTCAGAGAGATTCATACACTTTTAACACAAGTTATTGTCTGGAAACTACAAAAATGCTTATTTGGGCCCCTTTTTTGTCCCCTAATTCCTAAGCAGTTGGGACCATAACCCCCAAAATCAATCCCAACTTTCTTATAGTGGTTATAAACCTTGTGTTAAAATTTTATTGATTTCTATTTACTTATACTTAAGTTATTATCCAGAAACCATCTGTCTTTGGACGACGATGTGATACCAATATACGAGCAAAAAATTAATAATTTTTGCGTTCGTATAAAAACTGCATGTAACCCCGTGTTCTATTTTTAGCCATGTCGACCATCTTGGTTGGCAGGCGGGGTCATCAGACATTTTTTAAACTAGATACACTAGTGATGATTGTGGCCAAGTTTGCTTAAATTTGGTCCAGTAGTTTCAGAGGAGAAGATTTTTGTAAAAGTTAACAGACGCCAAGTGATGAGAAAAGCTCACATGGCCCTTTTATGTTCCTGATAAAATTATCTACATTTAACTTACTTGTTCAAACAAAGTATATGTTATTGGAAGTTACTTATTCTCATTAAATGTATTATGTTTGTTTAATAGTAGTCCGAAATTACTCTGACGTCCAACGGCTGTTTTACCAGACAAGCTGGGGCCGTGGGACGTCAGAGCTCGTCCCATATCAAAAAGTGGATATTTGCCCGTCCAAAATAGATGCTCTGCTTCGTCGCTTCTGGTGCCAACGGACGGCCTTGGAATTATATAAATCGGGTATCAATTTGTTCATTTTTCATTTATCTCTTCATTTATGTAAGTTTCAACTTCCTGCCACCCTTTATTTTCTCATATTTAGACAGTTTTCACAGTGACCCACCGATTCTGGCATTTTGACTGTCATTTTGAAAGATTGTCATGTGATCACGAGAAAAAAGTAAGGCACAATGGACTATGGGAAATGATGTTATGCATATGACCCTAGGTCAATATGAATATATAATCTAACATCTCGCTCATTTACGATGCAAGCAATGTAAATATCCGAGAGCTTCCGAATGTTATCGTGGTTGGCACTAAATGCTTAATTAACGATCTCCTTTTAAGGAGGTGAAAAAATCGTGGTTGGCTACTAAATGTTAAATGTCGATCTCCTATAAAGGAGGTGAAAAAAGTATAAATATTTGCATATTTGAGTCTCGAGGTCGCAAAATCTCTTGTAACTTGACGTCCATTTGAAAATAAAAGTAAAAATGTCTGAATCGATGGGTCACTGTGAAATCTGTCTAAATATGAGAAAATAAAGGGTGGCAGGTAGGTGAAACTTACATAAACGAAGAGATAAATGAAAAATGAACAAATTGATACCCGATTTATATAATTCCAAGGCCGTTCGTTGGCACCAGAAGCGACGAAGCAGCGCATCTATTTTGGACGGGCAAATATCCACTTTTTGATATGGGACGAGCTCTGACGTCCCACAGCCCCAGCTTGTCTGGCAAAACAGCCATTGGACGTCAGAGTAATCTCGGACTAGTTTAATAGCAGTGCCAGATAGTAAGGTTACAGAAGAAAACAAAAAAATGGTAAATAAAGTGAAAAAAAAAACACACTATTGCTAAAATACATCTTCATTAACTGCTCCAGATGGTTTTTGTGTTCTTTTCTATCTGATATCTGGCAAGTAATCTGTACTTATCCTCGTCATCTTTTACTTTAGGACATTGTCTGTTTGCATTTTGGAAGATGGGGTCATAAACCGTAAAGTTTTAACTTAGAATGAACCTGAACAGACATTTGATACGACCTTATACATTGACATATTATATCTCAACTTTAATAATGAATTGCAATGAAATAAAGTCCAGCTTTCAGACTACATTACGAGTGCACCCAAAAAAGAGTAAATGGTGTAGATGTAGCCGAGTATACACCAGTTTTATAACCAAATATGTATCATTTGAACACAGAAACATTACATTACATTGATATGCAACAGGAGAAAACATATGACAATAAACTTTAAAGGATGGCAACAGATTAAATTTTCGAATTACTAACAATGATGTCCAAACGTGTAGATAAAATTTAAAAAGGAAGTCCAATAATGACTTCCGGAACAGTGAAAAGAATGATTAAAAGACAGATTTTATTTTGCAAAGGTAAATAATTACAGTTGAAACCTTGGACTCGTATGTATATCGTGAAACACGTCCATTTAGATTAAAGGTATGATCGAAATCCCTTTTCAGGATATTTGACTCTATAACTACAACTGTAGGCGATTTTCTGCATGACATTCTTAGTTCAAGACAAGCATAAAATGTTTCTATTTTATATGTAACCAAGGATTTGTATCACAGGCACTTGTTTATCCATGGGAAGATCCGTTACTATACGTTGATAGCGGATCTTCCCATGGATAGCTGCAAGTGCCCGTGATTTGTATAGTAAGATCTACTATACAAATCCTTGATGTAACTAGATTCTGACTGACAATGCACTGTGGGCATTGTTTCATTGAGGTAGCCGGGAAGCAGCTTTCAATTGTTGTTATCTCATTTAATTTTGTTTAATTAGAGCATTTGTCTTATTTTTGTGTTTGTTCGTATTCTGTTTGCCCGAAAGTTTTACAAATCAAATCAAAATCAAATCAAATCAAATCAAGTTTATTGTACAAAAACAGGCCTCCAGCCCACGGTACATTTATAAATTCATAATTTATAATGCCAACTACAGTTTAATAATAACATATATTAAACAATACAACACAAACATATTATACAAATACATATATATATATATATATAATCTTATAAATTGCAAAATGTTTTAATGCTCTTTAATAGACCAGTATTTGTAATAAATTAATTTATTTACCAAGTATATTCATTTTCATAAAGTCACAGTGACAAAAGTTTTACGTGACAGGAGTGGGATCGATGATTCCGGAAGATGAATTAATACAACTGAACCTTGAAGTAAAATTATAAATTTTGAGATCTAGAATGTTGAAAGCTAAACTGGAAATGGAAGAAAATCCTTTAGAACGTGCTACAAGTTCTATACGCATTCTACTATTATTGTTCAGTCATATTGACATTTTTGTTGACCTTTTTATGATTTTATATACCGTTTAGTGGCTAGTTCCTTTTAATCTGTAATAACTTTCAATTTTATGTGCAAATACGAAAATTGGTAAACAATTGTGATTAAAGGGAAATAACTCCCAAAAGGAAGTAATAGATGGTTTCAATCAATTGATAGTTTTGTAAATCTTTTATTCTCAATCTTTTTCACAGGTTCCAGTTTCTGTCTATTCATTATTTTTTTCATGATGATAAGCAAAACGTAAAAAAAAGTAAAACAATATGTTGACCTACGTGGAGTAAACTTATTGTTTCAGTCATATGGACAATTTTACAGATCTTGTATTGCCCACAATTCTTAATTTTGTTGCTAACAGATTCTGTCTATCTGTGAAACTTTAAAAAGAATATGAATCTCATTAAAATCAGCTGTTAGTTTTCGCTACGATACTCTCCACCCTAGAGGGATTGTAGCGTACCAAAACATCGGATTTAAATCAGATATAAAGAAAATAAGCAAACATGCTAAATAATATTAAAAAAAAAACAACATTTTAAGGCAATACAGCTATACGGAGCCAATATATGGTTTTAGTCATATTGGCATTTTTGTGGATCTTAAATTGCAAATTATTTTCAACGACTGTATTTTGGTCTTTTTCCTTTTTTTTAGCCATGACTTTTATTTTCGACATGAGTTTGAATGTTCCTTTGGTATCTTTCGCCTCTATTTTACTGTTTATTAAGGAATGACTGTAATATTTTTTCTGTCTATGAAGAAATAACATCAAAAATGTGGTGCACACTGAATAACCCGCGTAGCGTGTTATTTAAAAGCCTGCACCACATTTTTGAGGTTATTTCGAATTGACAGAAAAAATATTACAGTCTTTCCTTATAATTTAATTCTTAATTCCATTTTAAGGAGTAAATCACGAAAAAACGTTGATCAATGACGTCAAGGTCACATGACAAAATTATGTTGACGTCAAGGTCACATGACAAAATTATGTCTATGAGTTGATAGACAAAAAACTTTCAGCCAATCAGAAGACGTGTTACATCCAAAATTAGATTATATGAAAATAAGAAAATGTAGTATAATTGCCTATGAGACAACTCTCCAACAGAGACCAAATGACATAGAAGTTAACAACTATAGGTTATCGTACGGCATACAACAGTGAGCAAAACCCATACCGCATAGTCAGCTATAAAAGGCCACAAAATGACAATGTAAAACAATTCAAACGAGAAAACTAACGGCTTGATTAATGTAAAAAATAATGAATGAAATACAAATATGATTTGCAGCAACAAACGACAACCACTGAATTACAGGCTCCTGAGTTGGGGACAGGCGCATCGTCGGGATAGGAGTACACATTTTTGTTTAGGGGCCAGCTGATCCGGGTGCGGGATTTTCTCACTGTGTTGAAGAAATGTTGCATCTTCAGTTTAATTTTTGCTCTTTGACCGGCTCTTCAATCAACTGACAGCAGGATACCTCGAATAATCACTTCGCCTTCGTTCGATTACTCATTACTTATCGAAGTGAGCGTCCTGAATACGACATGACTAGTTAGGGCTGATATTACTATAATACGATTTCTTATCAGTTATGTACACTGTTAAACAGGTTCTCCGTAAATTCTCACTGCAATATGTTACAATTAAGACTCGTATGTCATCATAGGGGCTCGTATCATTGATGTGTTTTGGTGGGAACTGGGACATGATGCATAGTATTTATTACCGATTTGAATAGTTTGTAAAATCAGTAAGCGATATAATTCATATTAGATTACAGTAACATATTTTGTTAGATTAATGAAATAGAGAAAAGGTTCAGAACTTGTATAATTTATTTTAATTTGAAATTCATTGAGTTCTAATTTATATTGTACTCATGCTATTATTCTTGAACCGTCAACGGTTAATAATTTTATATTTCGTTACAGGGTCTTTTGTTACCAACTATATTTTCGTATCATAATAAAACGAATCCTAAACCTGAGATGTGTTATTTGTGTTTCTGAAAACCTAGGAAAACCACATGACTACAGTATAATAGTCCCAGTGTGGGAAATATGATTGTGTCAGTCGACTGGTATGTATTAGACGACCTAATACACAATCTAAAACGTATGGTTCTTTATACCTTCTCTTCTTTATGTATATAGAAAAACATCAACTGGTCGATGATTACTTTCTGGCGCATGCCTGGTATAACAGTATAGTTAATAATTACAAACTTATTTTTCTAATTTTATATTAATTTTTCAATTTTTTATATTTGTAAGTACTATTTTTTCAATTTTTATTTTTTATTTTTTTGGTATAAATAGATAGAAAGATAGATTTATTTGATCAAGTATCATTATAAAACAATACAAATGTAGTATATAACAATAGCAGACATGTAAACATACTAAAATAATTAAATCTCAAACCAATTATCTAATCAGGATTGCCCATGATGAAAGACATACGGCTTATTTCTACAGTAATGGGGTCCCTTTATGTTACATTCTTAAAAAAAAAAAAATAATCCAACATGAATTTCTTAATATTTTACCTATAAAATTCAAAATGTAGGAATAGCCAGAATAAACCACAATAAGGTTTACAATAAGAAATCATGACTTTGGCAGGCTTTATACTAATTATATTAAAATTAAAATTTACGATGACATTGACTAAAATATTTAAGCCAACCAATAAAATAAACATTTGCTATTATAATCGTTGCTTTCCTATTTTGACAGAAAATCCTTAACACCAGATTTATAAGATTCAAAATTTGTGTTGCTCTGTAATTTCATTTGGCAACAAGTTCCAATCCTTTATAGCATTATGATAAAATGTTAAAGTCTATTGCCCTTTTACAGGTGGTATAAACAAATGTATTCACTAGATCTGGTTGAATAATTATAACAATCTTTGATCTTAGTAAAATTGCCTTGCATGAAGTAAGGGCTTTTGTTATAAAATATTGTATGTACATTTTTTAGTTTTAGTTGTTTGACTCTATTTTCTACATTAAAAAAAAACAATGCTAGTTAGTACATTAAAATTAACAGAAGTTCTAATTCCCATGCATATCTTTAATAAATCTAGCAGACTTATTACCTAAAGAAGTATATACAGTTTTTCTAGAGTTTTCTGATAGACATCTACCATGTCTATAAAGGAACTTCAGTCTTGCATTCACTTTTTGTAAAATATTACTGACAATAATTTCCCCAGACAAATATCTGTCTATGTTTAGGCCCAAGCATTTTACACAATTTTGAGTTGGAATAATATGGTTATTGCAGCTGACTTGAAAATTGTCTACCTTTGCAAGCCAGCAGTTTGCGTTTTGAACTAGACAAAATACATTCAGTTTTGCCCAAATGAAGGGATAATTTGTTATCAATTAACCATTGACTGCAAGATTAGAGTTCCTTTCCAAGTTTTTCAGATATTACCTCCGGGATCCTATACGAAAATAAATTTGTGCTATCATCAGCATATAATTATAATTTACAATCGGAACTTATACTAATAGACATATCATTTACATATACAAAAATAAAAGTGGACCCAAAATACTACCTGGAGGTACTCCACAGCTAACTGTTTGAAAATTAGATTCAAAGCCATTTACATTTACTTTCTGCTATCTCTCTGTCAAATAAGATTTAAACCATTTATATCTATCATTACCATTCAGTGTAGAGCCTCATAGATAACTTAATTTGTTTTATCATGATCAAGTAAATGTATTAAACATGTCTCCGTAGACACTGAAAGCTATATAACAAATCTTTTTTAACTAAATAATTTTCAAACTGAGAATAAACCGATTTCTCGAGAATTTTAGATACAATAACCCAAAATGCTAAAAATAGGCCTATAATTTCTAACATTTAGTCTGCTGTTCTTTTTATAGATAGGAAAGACTCTAGCTATTCTCATGTCATCTTGGATAATACCACTGACGACAACTATGTTTAAGCATGGAAGTATCATATTGACAATATAATACGTCC